ATTAGATAGATCAAAGAAAAATGCAGGAATAAAAGCCATCCTGCAGATTGCAGGGAGATTTGCGAGCACTGTGTGTCACAATCAGCACAGTGTGCAGCACTGACATCCTCTTTACTGCTAGGATTATCCTCTTCCTCTCTTCTTGCCACTTATTTTTTTTCAAAATTCATAACTTTATAGGGAACAATGGGAGGAAAATATGGCGTGGACTAGTCCAAAACTATAAAAGGAAAAAATAAAGTAAGAAGTTACCAGATGCCATAGCAAAGGGATCCTCAGAGAGGTGTCAGGAGACAAGAGAAATATTTTCTCAGCAGGGAAGAACTCTGAAGATGTCTCTCCGTCGTGAGAAAACCAACAGCCAACATATTAGCAAAGGCGTATTTTATCGCCGGGGTATATATTGGTCTTACAAAGTTGCTAACCATTGGTCTGCTTCATGACAGTATATTTTCATATTGCAAAATTTATTAGGAATCAGTTTTTACACTACTTTCCAGGAGTAAAAGTTTTACCCATCAGTTCGCTATTTTTGCTGCCCAAGAGAGTAGAGATGATCAGAGCCTACGAGATCTCTCCAGCGCTCGCTGAGGACAAGTTACTGCAGAGAAGGACGCATCGTGCTTTAATCACGAAGCGAAGGTTCAAAGGTGTGGGGTGGAAGGTAACTCTTGACGCCTTCAGAGCTCCAGGCGGCAGCTAAGCACTGAGCACACAGAAAACATCCGCACGGGAAACACACACCGTGAACTGCCGCGAAGCGGGACAGGGACGGGCTAAAACACTACCTGCCGGGGCGGCCTCCACACCCCGCCTCACCTGCCTTCCTCAGGATGGCTCCTCCTGCTGCTGGCGGGTCACGTGCCCACGGGGTTACGTGCCCTCGAGCCTCCGTCCAGAGAAGCTCTGCCGCGGAAACTCGTCCGGTGACTCGGCGCCCCACAGACCAACCCTCCCCTCAGCGCGGGGCCCCGGCTCGGGTCACTCAGAGCGAAGAGACCTAGAACTCCCCGCCCACGCAGCGTCGCCGCCCCTACGCAACGGCCCCGCCCTACGCGGCGGCCCCGCCCTACACTACGACCCCGCCCCTACGCAGCGCCCCCGCCCTACACAACGGCCCCGCCCCTACGCGGCGTCCCCGCCCCACGCAACAGCCCCGCCCCTACGCGGCTCCCTCTCCCTACGCGGCGCCCCCGCCCCACGCAACAGCCCCCCCCTACGCGGCTCCCTCTCCCTACGCGGCGCCCCCGCCCCTACGCAACAGCCCCGCCCCTACGCGGCTCCCTCTCCCTACGCGGCTCCCCCGCCCCACGCAACAGCCCCGCCCCTACGCGGCTCCCTCTCCCTACGCGGCGCCCCCGCCCCACGCAACAGCCCCGCCCCTACGCGGCTCCCTCTCCCTACGCGGCGCCCCCGCCCCACGCAACAGCCCCGCCCCTACGCGGCGCCCCGCCCCACGCAGCAGCCCCGCCCCTACGCGGCGTCCCCGCCCCTACGCGGCGTCCCCGCCCCACGCAGCAGCCCCGCCCCTACGCGGCGCCCCCGCCCCTACGCGGGGCCGCGTAATTCAAATTGGAGCAAATCATTTTTTTATTTTTTATGATATAGTGTCATATGAATGTATCTTAAAATGTGTGCCTTAAAATGTTCAGTTTTTGAGGCTAAATCTGTATTTCAAAAGTTGTGCCTAAGTCGTCCCAGTCAGATTTTTGTCCTTTACCATTGAATGTGTGTGTGGCCTGGAGACCGCATTGGCCGGTCGGGAAGTTTGCAGTTACGCTCCGTATTCAGTAGACTACCAGCTCAGAGGTCCTCTCTCTGGTGACTGCTAACACAGTGCATGGTCAGTCTTCCAGATCGCCAGAGATGAATGTGATGTTATTTCTAAGTCTGGTTTCTAGGAGTCACTCCCTGGAACAGAATAATTTATTGTTCACCCAGTGTTCACTCAGAATTCATGCTTTAGCTCTTAGCCAGGAGGGGTAAAAGCTCTTTGCTGATGAATCAGGGGTTGACTTGGGGAATGCTTACAAATTCATCCACTTTCCGCCTTGATTGCTCTCGAGTGGGTGCAGGCTAGCACAGAAACACAGGCTTCCATATCTCCAGAAATTAGTGATCCCAGAAGGCCTTTTCTTGGCTCTCTTTTTGCCTGGTTTTCTCTGGCAGACAGCCAGAGGTTTATTTGCTGCTACAAAGCATGCTAAAGATTTCAAGCCCATCTTCACTGTTCCTAACCGAGGTCTCCATTGTTTTTGACAATGCTGTTGGGAATGGGTGTCACTGCTTAAGGTAGTACATTTCTTTTCTTTTTTTTTTTTTAAAGACGGGGTTTCACCATGTTGGTCAGGCTGGTCTTGAACTCCCGACCTCAGATGATCCGCCCACCTTGGCCTCCAAAGTGCTTGGATTACAGGCGTGAGCCACCACGCCCGGCCAAGCTAGTACATTTCATCTTATCCTTTCCTGTCCTTGAACTGGGGTTTACAACATTGGCTGCCCTGGTTCCCAGGCCTTCGGACTCAGATTGAATAGGGTCCAGCTTACAGATTGCAGATCATATTTTTTGCCTCCACAATTTCGTGAGCCAATTCTTCATAATACAATTAGTTTTTCTGGGTGGGCAGATAACTTCAGGTCAGGAGTTCAAGACCAACCTGGCTAACATGGTGAAACCCTGTCTCTACTAAAATACAAAAATTAGTCGGGCATGGTAGCAGGTGCCTGTAATTCCAGCTACTTGGAAAGCTCAGGCAGGAGAACCGCTAGAATCTGGGAGGCAGAGGTTGCCGTGAGCCCCGACTGTGCCACTGCACTGCAGCCTGGGCAACAAGACACCATCTCTGTCTCTCTCTCTCTCTCTCTTTTCTGTATTATTCTACCTCTCTCTATCACTCTGTTTCTCTATGTTGGTGGTTCTGTTTCTCTGGAGAAGGATGACTAATATACTAAGAAAAAATTACGTCAATATATGTTAAATAAATTTGTTAAACATTGATACGTATTATAAAATAAAACCAAATAATAATAAAAGTAAATAGCAATTTTCATTCTTTATTTTATTTCAAATGTACATGTCAGCATAATTTTCATGATTTTAAATTCTGTAAGCATTAGGTTGAAAGTCAGAAGCAAGCCAAAAACACATTATTGCTGAACTTTCTTCTGGATATTTTAATACAACACATTTAGAAGTTAGAAGTATAAAATGGTAAACATTTTCATTATTCCTTGAAGCTTATTATTTACCTAGAAAAAAACTTATAAATAAAAATTTTCTAAGCTATCTAAAGACAAAATAAACACTCAGTATTCAATGGTTTTCATATAAAAAGTATCCAACTACTTCTGTGATACTAATATTCATGAGAACAAAATGTGAAAACAGCCAGAAACATTTAAGAGAATAAAGGTATGCTGAGAAGGCACTAACCTTAGGTTGATTTTCAAATATATTAGTAAATCAAAAAATTAAAAGAATCTGATACTGATATTTGAATTCACGGATATAGCAGACATTGAAACAGGTTAGTGTACTTATCTATATCTGTCTTTCTGTGCATCCATCTATCAATCCTGAGTGCTAAGGGTGAGATTCACTTGCACCTAAAGCAGCAGGAAAGATTTGGAGCTTCAAGAATAAATGCAGATGGCACCTACAGAAGCTGTACCCAATGTCATAAGGGATTCTGTGGAGGGGCTCATTCAGATGAAATAGGTAAGTTTATATTTTGTATTTTCATTTTTTCTTGTATAAGCAAGGAAAGTCTTACTGAAAGTTACAATTCAGATATACACAGAGAAATATTGAAATATTGCTGCCTACTCCCAGGCATGGGAATGGCCAGCTCCTTACTCCAGGTAGCGGAGGGGAGAGATATCAAGAGAGTGACAATTTTCTTAATTCACTTACCCTACCTTTCATTAAATATCTCCAACCCTAGATTTAGTGCAGGAGCCCTTAAAAACATTCCCACAGGGAAGGTCAGGGTCCCAGGCTCATAGATGTCCCCTTACCACCTTTAGCAGGGCAAAAATAAGTAAAGCAAAGCTTCTTACTTCAGAAATATTCAGTCTAATACAGTGTGTACCCTACAGCCTAATCATTGCTTCATTCCAGAGGCTTTAATTGCATAAAGTTCCCTGGGAAAGGGATGATATTTGTTTGCTTTTTTAAGGATAAGGCCAGTATTAACTCAAGCTTATTTTTATTCTCTATCAAGAGTCCCTCCCATGTAATCCTGATGGAAGAGGGTGCTGGTTTTTTTTTTTTTTTTAACTAATAATTTCAATTTTTAATAATGGAAACAATTTTGCCATTCTAGAAACAATGTTAGGGGAGAAAAATCTTCCCTACAAAAATAAACCCATCGAAATTATAAATATTATAACATTTTACTTCCGCCATTTAAAATGCTCTCCTGCAATACGACCCCTTCATTTAACATCTTTCCTGTACCATCACATATTGAAGAGAAAACAGTATTACAGCAAAGCTTAGATAGTTTAACATAACGATTTGTACAATGATTCTTAAAAAATCTTTGGCCTTAGTGGCCTTTTTACTTCACTGAGACATTAAAAATGCTGCTGCAATTACCAGTGTTTGGGAAAAAACATCAGTCTTCAAGAAACATGAACTGACAGAATTTCAATACAGTAAGTTTCCAAATTGCAATTTGTAGTGCACATGACAGTGAGCGAGGTTCTGGATAAATACAGATGAGGATGCCTAGTTAGACAATCTACTTCAAGTAAAAAAAAAAACCTGTCCTTATTTGTATCGAGGAGGAGAGTGAGGAAGAAAGAAATGAAAAAAAAACCAAGGAAGTAAAAAGAGGCAGAAGGAAAACCTTCTCTTTTACTTGGATGGCGTGAATGGGCTTTTGCTGAGAAACTCTTGTCTGACCCTGGAGTGTGAGTCAGGCAGAGTCTGAGTCAGTGGAGTCCCAGTTTGAAGTCCTCTGAGGTAGTTGTGCTAGAGACAGTGCCCTCAGACATCAATCGACTTCTATTTCTTCTTCACTGCTGCAGTCTGAAGGGTTATTGATTTCTTCCTCTTCCCCAACTTTCTTTCTCTTCGCTTCTGGTTCCATGGAGACGGGATAATTTGCACAAGTAGTCTGTGATGAATCTGTCCCTGGAGCCTGGAGCCACTGCCCCTCACCAAACCCTTCTTGCAGATCCTTTGCTAAAGGAGACTTCGGATCTGTTTGTCTAAACCTGGGATCCGGGCCTCCTCTCATGGCCATATTCTTACCCTTAGCATAGGTTGATTCTTTGTATGCAGCGTACTCTTTAGGTGACAAAGTCTTGAGCCAGAGATCCAGTTTCACCTTGTATTCCTTCTGCAGCTCCTCAGCCTGGCTCTTAAAATGATCCTTCTGGCTCTGCGGGATGCGCTGCCAGCATCTGCCAATCTCTACCATGCGCTCCCTCGGGGACAAATGTTGCAGCTCTTTACTTGACCAGGAATCTTGGTGAAACTTGTGATACCCATTCATGGGGGGTTTCTTAGGCTCTCCATGAAATTTTACCGTCTTGAAAAATTGATCCGTTTTTGGAAGAGACTTCACTTCTTCCGCATTTTCCTGAACCTTCTTTTGCCCTTTGTTTTGAATCCTCTTGAAGACTTCAGATTTCCTGGCCTTCTGTACTAAATTGGGGTGTTCTCCCCTGAATCGAGAAATTTTTTCCTCAAATTCTTGCTTTTCCTTCTGGAAATCTGAATATATTTCTCTTTCACCTGCTCTGGCAGCTCCTTGTACTTCTTTGACAGGATTTTCATCAGTTCCTGGTTTTTCATCCCCGGGTACATTTGGGAATACTGTGGCCAGTTCTCCTTGATGAAGTGGTTATAAGCAGTAAGGGGCCTCTTTGGAAAGTCTGGATGTTTCCCGTATTTTTGGCTTTTGTTTTTGTTTGTAACACATTTCCTGGCTTCCAGAACTAATTCTTTCAAAGTGCCAGATTTCCCCAAGTTGCAAGCAATCTCTAACCATTTGAGTCTGCACATTTCACCAGAAAAGTTTTCAAAAGCTACTTTTCCCCAGTCCAGGTGTGACTCAGTTGTGCTGAACTTGCTGTTCTGGTCGTATGGGAGATTCGTTTCCATGGTTTCCAGCAACCTCAAGATCTCTTCGTTGGACCAGTGGCCATGGCTTCTAGGCAATGCCATTTCGATGTCTTTAAGCTAAGATCCGAGGTATGTAGACAACTGAGCAAGCACACAGAGTTCTTTACTTTTAAGATTCAGTGGATGACTTGTTTCTGGAAGTCTTGCAGTATGTGTGATTCTGTATTTCTGAGCAGAAAAACAGGAAAGTTACTTTCCTTCATTGGGAGTAATGAAAAAGTTACACCCTCTTTGCCATATGTTTCTTGTGTAATTAAATTACCCTTAATGATATAGATAAAACATTGCCAATTTCATATGATACATTTGCAATATTCAGTATTTCCATACCCAACCCCAGTCTGCTTTCTGCCAGATCTCAGGTGAACCTATCTTAAATTGAGTTGCATAAGACAAACACCAGACCACTCACTCAAGAAGCTTACTATAGCAGAAAGGCCCTGAAGACAGAGTGAAAAGTTAAAGTGGAAGGAGAAATGCCTAAAGGGAAAGAGCTTTCATTCTCTAGTGCCCTGAGTATGGCCATTTTCTCAGCGCAGGCCTAGTTATCCATGGCTAAAGGTGCAGATGAGAAGTTAAAGATACAATAGGACAAGCCCAAGACACCCTGTCTCTTTAAAAAAAAAAAAAGAAAAGAAAAAGAAAGAAAGAAAGAAAGAAAGAAACCAGGAAAACTAAAAATTTATATAGGGCCAGGCCCAGTGGCTCACGCCTGTAATTTCAACATTTTGGGAGGCTGAAGCAGGAAGATTGCTTGAGCTCAGGAGTTCAAGCCCAGCCTGGGCAACACAGAGACCCCATTTCTAGAAAAAAAAAAAAAAAATTATCCAGGCCCACAGTTGTGGTTTCTGTAGTTCCAGCTACTCGGGAGGCTGAGCTGAGAGGATGGCTCTAGCCCAGGAAGTCAAGACTACACTGAGCCTTGACTGTACCACTACATTTCAGACTGGGCAACAGTGGGAGACCTTGTCTCAAAAAAATTGACCCTGTCAAATTTCTGTGATTTCCTCCATTTCTGTGTTAGAATACATCTTATATTTCTTTATTTTTTAGTTTTTATCATCATCAGTTACAAGATACTTAGAAGTTTAAGACATCCATCTTTTTATCATTGAACCATTTGAAAGTTTTGATCTTAACCACAATATGGAATCCTGTGACTTCGTGAAGCTGTTAAGAATTCTTTTTTTAAAAAATTTTTGTGACATAAAATATAAACATTTATATAGTAGCTTCACAAAGTCACACGTACAGTTTTATTCTATTTTATAGAATAAAAATATCAAAAAATAAGAGGCTTTGGAAAGAACATTCAAACAACAAAATGGATTTTGTAAATTAAAAATATCATTACAGAAATAAAAACTTTAATGGAATATTAGGAAAATTAAAAAGTGCCTTTCAGCACTTTAAAAACTTTGCAGACAAGCAAAGCTTCATGCAAGCTGAAGTTACAACATAGCACTTTTCATATTCTACAAAAAAGGTTACCAATTAAATTCTAGATATGATACTACAGATAAAATGGTATAATATCTAGGACTTTCCCTCCAGAAATTCACAATTTGTATAAAGAAGAAACAAAAAGTAAAGGAAATACTCACCTGAATATTCTATAACTGGTCTGAACAGTAGATGAAGGAAAATTCATGCATCTGGAGCAAGAGTTTAGTGTCCTCTGGGCTTTCTGGATGACAGATGTTTCTTTTTCCGAGGTTTCCACAGTCTAGCAAATTCCAAACGCTCTGAAAATAATAAAGCTTGCTTTTAGGATGCCAAGGTTTTTATAGGATTTTAAAGCACAGATTAGGTTTTCTGATTAGGTTTCTGCAGCACAGGAGTACCAATGAAATTTACCTTTCCATCATTGATTCAATTAACTCCATTTCTAATCTCTGTAAATAACCCACTACAAACACCCTCTAGTACTGGTTTATATTGTCATTGATTTTTAAACAACTCCTATGTGGCAAATTCACGTTTGATTTTCTGGGGCGACAAGTCTGCTTTCATTTCTGTTCCTATATCTGATGGTATTTTTATATGATATTGGAATATCATGTAAAATTTCATTCTTTGATAATTTCTGCCCTTTCCTCACTGAAATCTAGGATCTGCTACCATCTCACCTTCCTTGTGGACATGTAAATACCTTCAGAACTGATACATTTCTATCAGCCTTTAGATTTGGAGATCAAAATGCTAATGATGATGGTGGATGGTTTTGGAAAAAGAGAAGTAGAGGCTCGATGTCTGGCATCTCTGGCTAATCTAATTTTAAACTAAGGGAAATTAAATAGGTACTGTGCAGAAGAAAATATAGATGATTTTCTTTAAAGAATTTTGATTAAATTCAAACCAATCAAAAGGATACCTTTATTTAAATGACAACTTATTTGAACAAATAATTTTAAAATTTTTGTCTCATCAATATATAAAAATTGCACATATTTATAAGGTACAATATAATATTTAGATACATGTGTACATTGTGAATTGATCAAATTAGGATATGACAATGTCAGGCTTCATAATTTATAAAATAGGATTATGCCATTTAAAAACTATATCTAAAGTTACCAACTAGTAATGAACTGAATATACCAAATTACAAGATATTACTTGAAAAATCCCAAATTAATAAAATGTACATTTTATTAATTTAGGATATTTAGTTTTAAAGTACATTTAAAAAATAGATTTTTAGCTTTAAAGTACAATAAATAAATATGACATTTTCAAAAAGTAAAAAAATTATGTACAAATATGGATATAGACAAAAACATGTACAGGAAATATCAGTAGGACTAAACTCCTTGGAGATTTTAATGGCAATAATTTCATGATATAATTTTTTTAAATGATCATTTTTTTCTTTATATTTTATGGTATCAAAAAAGAAACCTTTGTCTCTATAAGAATATACTCTCAGACAAGCATCTCTTATATAATTCACATAAATAATTATTTAGATGTTTGTAGTCTCAATTAGTTTGATATAGTTGGGTTTAGGAATATCTATAATAGCAAACCCTGTGGATATTTCTTACACATGCTACAGTTTGTGGAAGAAAGTTAAAATTGTCATCCATCTAGTGACTTAAAGCTTGTCTTCCACTCTAAAATACACCACAACACACACACATATGTGCATATGCAAATATATGCAAATAAAATACTGTGGTGAAATAAAATACCTTTGTTTGTTCTGAGGAAAGCTCTAGCTCTGTTGCCCTAAATGGAGTGCACAGAACAGTCCTGGCTCACTGCAGCTTCAAACTCCGAGGCTCAAATGATCCTCCTACCTCAGCTTCCCAAATAACTAGATCCACAGATGTGCACCACTATGCCTGGCGTTTTTTAAAAATAATTTTTATAGAAATAGATTATATCAATGTTGTGTAGGCTGAACTTGAACTCCTGGATCAAGCCTTCCTCCTGCCTCAGCCTCCTAAAGCACCGGGATTAAAGACATAAGGCTCTATACCTGGCCTTGAAAGGAATTTTTGTTTAGTCTCATCCAGATATTTTTGCTTTTTTTCTGGTGCTAGTCCTAATAAAATTAAAAAGTCCTAAGAAAACTCTTCCCAATAGATAAAAGATGAATTCGTTTGTTATTATGTTAATATTCCCTGCATGAGTAAATTACCACCTCTATTTAGATATGCAGATGAGAAAAACGTAACCTCCCATTTATTTAAAATTGGGCTCTTTATTAGAGTAGATTAGCCTGTACCCTAACAGATCTCATGAGAAGTTTTGACTTAGAAATGTACTCTCAGTTTTATGAGAATGAATAAATCATACATGATACAAATTCTTTACATATTAGTCATTTTTTATCTCATGTTTATAATCCAAGATATTTCTTTTGTCTTAACATAGGTTTCTCAATTTATTATAAAAATATCTTCTCTCACCGGGCGCGGTGGCTCAAGCCTGTAATCCCAGCATTTTGGGAGGCTGAGGCGGGTGGATCACGAGGTCAAGAGATCGAGACCATCCTGGTCAACATGGTGAATCCCCGTCTCTACTAAAAATACAAAAAATTAGCTGGGCACGGTGGTGCGTGCCTGTAATCCCAGCTACTCAGGAGGCTGAGGCAGGAGAATTGCCTGAACCCAGGAGGCGGAGGTTGCAGTGAGCCGAGATCGCGACATTGCACTCCAGCCTGGGTAACAAGAGCGAAACTCTGTCTCAAAAAATATATATATATATGTTCTCTCTATTATCTGTATTACTCTTTGTACTGTAAAGGTGTTTTGTGTGTTTCTATAGTAAATGCTTACAATCTATAAAACAACTAAGAAAGACATGAAGCAAAAAATTAATCATATCATTAATTTGAGGATCATGTAGTAAGAGAGATGATGGAAATGCTTAATTTGTAAATAGGCTAAATAAAAGGAGCTTGTAAACCTGTGGATTATGTTTAAAATAATTTTTAGGCAGAAATGGAGCTGTTTGTAAAACTCAGAAAATGAGATCATTTCATCTCAGAAAATCTAATTTTTCACATAAATTCAAGTTCCCAAATTTTGTTTGTTTTGTTTTGTCAGAGTAGCTCCTGCTCTGGAAATTGCATACCTACCTCAGAAATATGTTCTCAGCAAAGCTTGCTGTCGAATAAGTTGAGCTCAGCTCAGGGATCAGGGTCTCACGGTGCAGTGCCGGCAGCCTTCGGAAGTCTCCAAGGCCACTCTGTCGGTTCTGCAGAATGAGCTTGGTTCCTGAAGTGACCTTTTATACATCTGTGAGACCACACCCCTTTCCTCTAATTGGTTGGATTTCATCGGCTTAGGTGGGTGTTAACATAGATGATTAAGTTTTCTCCAATTACATTTTTTTTTTTTTTTTTCTTTTTTGTTTGGGAATCTTGCTCTGGTGCCCAGGCTGGGGTGCAGTGAAGCGATCTCAGCTCACTGCAACCTCCGACTCGAAGGTTCAAGCAATTCTCCTGCCTCGACCTCCCAATTAGCTGGGATTACAGGTGCCCCCTGCCACGCCTGGCTAACTTTTTGGCATTTTTAGTAGAGAGGGTGTTTTAC